CTATGATCCATCCCACCTCTGGTTTGTCTATTTGCTGCAAGACAACACAAATCAAGGTAAGCATTTAACTTTACTATTGCAGGGGCAGAGTGTATGCTTTTTGTTTGGGGGCCATATCTGGCAGCGCTTAGGACTTACTCCTGGCTCTACACTCAAGGATCACTCCTGGTAGGTCTCAGGGACCCTATGAAGTGCCTGGGATCAACCTCAGGTCAGCTTCATGCAAGGCAAGGACCTCACCCACTATACTCTCTCCTGTCCCATTGCAATTATTTTCAATGAAGGATACAATTTGAAAATAGTCAAATAAAGAGCTGCTTAGGGCAACATATAAGGAAAGATATGTAAAGCTCTCATACACTGTCTGAGTATAGTAAACCTCCTAGTACCAGCAAAGAGCTCACTGAACCTCATTGTCTTAAGATCTTATGGAGGGCCTGGTGAACAAGTACCGTGGGTAGGGCACTTGCTTGCATGCAGCCAACACAGGTTCAATTGCCAGCATCCCATATGGTCCCCAGAGTTTTTCAGGAGCAATCCCTAAGTGCAGAGCCAGAAGTTAGACCTGAGAACTGCCCAATTGGCCTAAAAACAAAAAAAAAAATTAAAAAGGGTTTATGGAGGCTTTATAAAATAAGAGTGGTTAAGAACAGATGACTGGTTAAAGAAACTTTGGTACATCTACACAATGGAGTACTATGTAGCTGTTAGAAAAGATGAAGTCATGAAATTTATGTACAAGTGGTACAACATGGAAAGTATCATGCTAAGCGAAATGAGTCAGAAAGAGAGGGATAGACATAGAAAGATTGCATTCATCTGGGGAATATAAAGTAACAAAACATGAGATTAATACCCAAGAATAGCTGAGATCAGCACCAGGAGGATTACTCCATAGCTTAGAGGCCAGCCAGGCATTCTAGGGGAAAGGGCAGCTCAGATAGAGAAGGGAGCACCAAATAAAGGATGTTTGGAGGATCCTCCCAGGAGGGAAGATGCATGTTGAAAGTAGACTATGGACTGAATATGTTTGCCACTCAAAGCCTCTTTTGCAGACCACAACACCCAAAGGAGAGAGAGAACACAAGGGATCGCCCTGCCACAGAGGCAGGGTGGGATGGGAGGGATGGGGGTGGGAGGGATATTATCCATTGTGGTGGAAAATGGGCACTGGTGGAGGGATGGGTATTTGATCATTGTATAATCTAAACCCAAGCACAAAAAATTGTAAATCTACAACTGTACCTCATGGTGTTTAAAAAAAAAATTCGGAATTTCAAAAAAATAATGAGTGGTTGATTAAATCACTGCTCCTTTTGTGATTATGTAAATTATCAACCACTCCCTTCTTGAGGTCTGCTATACTTGAAAGAAAGAAAGAAAGAAAGAAAGAAAGAAAGAAAGAAAAAGATAACCTTACAAGGTCAAAATAATAAAGAACAGTGTTTGTTGCTATACATTTCTATCAAGTGGATAATCCTTCATTTTGACCAATCTTTTCTGTTTTGGGGAAGTAGGGGTTGGAGGTGATGGCCCTCCCAAGCAGTGTTCAAGGGATCCAGGGACCACTCTGGTAACACACACACACACACACACACACACACATGGTCCAGCTGTATAGACCCACCAGTTCAGCACTTGGACCCTGAGATGTGGTGCTGCTTGAACCCAGTGATGATGAAGCCACAGGTCAGCACTACGATGTTAGAGGGAGCATGCAGTGCAGTACAATGAATTGAACCCTGGCCTCCACATGCAAGGCATGTGCTCTAGCTTTTCTGGTGATGCTCAGTGAAATTTTATATTGCAGATTACTGGCAGTTACAAGAACTGATCCCAAAAGAAACAAGATACAAACAGCATTGTAATTTCCATAATTTATTGAGTAGGTTATCTGTATTAATCTGTCAGTATATCCATTTGTCTAAGACTTTTCCTAACTATTTGTATACCTATAGCTTCAGATTAAAGATATCTATTGAGATAAAAATGAGCAAGAACTGGGGTGCAGTGCCGCCAGCAGATCACCATGGGGTGAGTGCATCAGCAGCCTAATGGTGACTTCAGGCTTCCTGATACCCCATTAGGAAGTATCTAATGGGGTGAGCCAGACCCCAACAACTTGGGATCAAGTTTCCTGAGAAATTAAATGGCCAAAAGTTAGGATATATGGAAGTCATGTCCACAAACCACCTCTGGGTCAGCTAGACAAGCTCATTTATCAGCCTTACTTCAGAGACCCATAAATAAATCCCCAAAGAGATCAGAAGCCACAGTTAATCTTGGACCCATGCAAGGGTGAAAAGACCATGGTAAATAGGATGGGGGGGAGGGGTCACGTCAGAGTGGTGCTTGCCCAGGCAGAGCCAAATACTTCCTCAGCAGCCACTTACTTCCACAATAAAAAAAAATCACTGCCATGCCGCTGGCCAGACTACATCATTTTAGGACAGACCTCACCAAGATATGATCTGCTGAAAATTTGGGTATGCAGGTCTTGTGACTGCAACCTCCAGTCATTCTCAGGGTCTGGATGGGCTACCTTCCCCCATCTCCTTTGTACTTCCAGAAGCTTAGGCAGTCAAATCAACACCCTAAAACTGTCACCCAGGTAAAAGAGCTACTCCAGCCTTACCTTTCTGATAAAAATACTGAACTCCCTGAACAAACATGATGATCTCTTAGTACCTGTATTGCAAACCATAATGCACAAAAGAAGAGAGAAAGAAGAAAGGTGCTTACTATAGAGGCAGGTGTGGGAGAGTGCTGGGAGGGTATTAGAGGGTGGTGGGAGGGAAAAGGTGGATACTGGTGGTGTGAAATGTGCACCTGGTGGAGGGATGGGTGTTAGATCCTCATCTGACTGAAACCCAATTATGAACAGCTTTGTAATGGTCAATCTCATAGATATTCAATAAAAAATTTAATTAAAAAGATTTAAATAAATGAACAATAAGGGCTGGAGAAAGAAACAGTAGACTAAATGTGAACAAAGCAATGATGGAGGTCTGAATACTTTGGTCTTCAAGGTGCTGTAAGTTTTGTATGGTAAAACCATAAATATTAATACTGTTGCAAGCATGTTACTAAATACGATATTAAATTTTGCTCGAGCAGTCCCAGTAATGTCTCCATTGGAGACTTTGTTGTTACTGTGTTTGGCATATTGAATACATCACGGGGAGCTTGCCAGGCTCTGCCGAGCAGGTGAGATACTATCAGTAGCTTGCCGGGCTCTCCGAGAGGGGCAGAGGAATCGAACTCGGGTCGGCCATGTTGGCTGTGTGCAAGGCAAACGCCCTACCACTGTGCTATCACTCCCGGGCTGGAGCAGGTAGGGCATTTGCCTTACACATGGCCAACCCGAGTTCAATTCCCAGCATCCCATATGGTCCCGTGCACCGCAAGGGGTAACTCCTGAGTGCAGAGCCAGGAGTAACCCTTGTGCATTGCCGGGTGTGACCCAAAAAGCTAAAAGAATAAGTAAATAAATAGCACTGTAGCACTGTCCTCCCACTGTTCATCAATTTGCTCAAGCAGGCTCCAGTAACGGCTCCATTGTGAGACTTGTTACTGTTTTTGGCATATTGAATACGCCCTGAGGAGCTTGCCAGGCTCTGCCATTCAGGCGGGATACTCTGAGTAGCTTGCCAGGCTCTCAGAGAGGGACGGAAGAATAGAACAGTAAATAAAAATCTCAAAAAAACAAAAAACCCAGATGAACAAATTCATCTCTGGTTACACATGAGCAAAGGCAGAGCAACAAATCTAAGCACACACTCTACTGAATATGTCAAGAAAAACATCTTCATTGTCTAAAGGCTTCAGTTATAAAGTGTCACAATACAAAAGCAGTATTTTGACTCAAAACCCTGAATAGTAGAAGTACAAAATCATTGTGTCAGTTGGACCAATGCTTTCTCTAAAGGATGTCAGCTAGATTCTGCTCCAAAGCATGCTCTTAGCATCTTGTTTCCTGGAACTCCTTGATGATCCTTGGCCTGCAACTGCCAATCTCTAGCCTTTCTGGTCACTGAGGAACTTATGTGTCTGTCCCCTCACGGATGTTTTTTGCCTGCCTATCAGTCTCTAACTGTATAAGGACTAGGCACTCAATGTACCCCAATAAAACCTCCCTGCACCAATTTCCAAATAAGGTCGCATTCAGAGGTACTGGGAAGACTGGGGTAAATAGAGAAGGAAAAGGGTTTGTAGAGTACTTAACAAAGCTTTGGGAGGGCCGGGGTGCAGGAGAGAGAAATTGCACCACTATATTTACAAAGTCCAAGTATAATGCGGATTAAGGTTCTTAAACAGAAACAGTAAAATGTTAATTACGTTAATGTACATTCAGGTATATATGCGTTCTACATGACGTCTCCTTTTTCCAAAACAAAAACCACACTGGCTTAGGTAATAAAAATATAAATAATTATTAATCCATCGAATTTCCTGCGTGCTGTAATCTGTTTTTAACTGTCACTGGTCCGTGAAGTTGAACAAAAGCCTTTATTCCCTTTCTGGATTCGCCTTCTAAGAGTGTCCGACGTGCATTTCACCATTACTACAGAAAGTAACTTTCGTAAATCAGTCTGTTCACACGGTCCCACGGTCTGGCTTGCACCACGCAGACCTGAGGTCGGCGGCAGCGGCGCCGGAGTTCGGAGACACCCACACCCCCGCCGGCGACCTTCCCCTCCGCGCCTCACTTCCCAGTGGGCTGCGCGGCGACCGACGGACGCCTCGGAGGAGGAAACCTGACGCTCGCTCAGGGCCCGCTAGAGGGCGCCTGGTCCCCAGCCGCGCCGTAGCCCGGCTGCGCCCGAAGTCCACCCCTCTCGCCTGCAGGAAGCAGGTCAACACCCCGCTCTCCGCCCACCCCCGGTTTGCCAACGAGGCAGGTTCCGCCGGTCCTGCGCACACACGGCCCCCACGCCGTCGGCACGGCGCATGCGTCGCCTCCGCCCCGCCTCTCCCGCCGCTCTTCCAGTTCCGGCCTGTCGGGAGCCGGTCAGGAGCCGGAGAAGCGGGCAGGCATGCGACTGACGGTCGCCGCCGCCATCTCCCATGGCCGCGTATTCCGCCGCCTGGGCCTTGGCCCGGAGTCTCGCATCCACATGTTGCGGAACTTACTAACGGCACTGGTGCGACATGAGCGCATTGAGGCGACCTGGGCGCGCGTGGACGAGATGAGGGGTTACGCGGAGAAGGTGAGGTGGGAGGGGGCGGGGCCTTCGCCGCGGGGGGCGGGGTCTCTGACTCAGGGGCGGGGCCTGAGGGTGGGGTCTCAGGGACGGAGCTGCAGCCACCTAGTAAATGCCGCCCCCCTAATCGGCTTGGTAGAGTCCCCGTCTCCCTCCCGCAGCACAACTGGAACCTTGGCTAGGGCTGTGGACTTAGAGGTGGCCCACCCAGAGATCTTTTGCTTTGCTATAGAATTAAATGAGTTAGAGCCCGATATGAAAGGCGTTAAGATTGGCGCCTAGTTTTTTTAACTCGGAGGGTCACTGATGGTGTTTCCCCACAGCTCATCGATTATGGGAAGCTGGGCGACACCAACGAACGGGCCATGCGGATGGCTGACTTCTGGCTCACGGTGAGTTCATCCTGCGGGTCCCCACCAGGTCTCATCTCTCAGGGCTGTCAGAAGAGGGGTTCGGGTGGGGGCAGGATGAAGCGCAGGCATTCTCTTAAGACACGTGGTGGAAACCAAATTAGAAAGGTGTGCCTTGGTTTACTTGAGGTCCACGAGTCCATCTGATTCCGTTCAAGTGCCAGGTAACTGTCCCCTCTACAACGTTGACACATTTTAGAGGGCGGGGTGCCTATGGTAGGGCGCATGGTGGAAGCCTCCAATGGAGAGTGCTGAAAGTTGAACATCTCCATAAAGTGGCATGCTCTGACTCTGCTCTCTTCTGAATAACTCTCGCCCACTAGGAGAAAGATTTGATCCCAAAGCTGTTTCAAGTACTGGCCCCTCGATACCAGGGCCAGAGTGGTGGCTACACAAGAATGCTGCAGATCCCAAATCGGAATGAGCAAGATCGGGCCAAGATGGCAGTGATCGAGTTTAAAGGGAACTGCCTCCCACCCCTGCCCCTGCCTCGCAGAGACAGCAACCTCACACTCCTAAACCAGCTGCTGCAGGGCCTGCGGCAGGACCAGGAAAGGTGCAGCCACAGCTCCCACACGGCTCAGACGCCAGGGTTGTAACTGAAGCCAAAGAGCATATATTGCCTTCCATCGTCAGTGGGGGTGAACTCAGAACTTGAAAGATCTAAGAAGAACTGAAGCTAAACTTGTAAAATGGCAATCTTAATGGAGTCCAGAACCTTCTGGGGAGCCAGATGACCTTCTCTTTGCACAGATAAAAGTCCTTATATGAGTATATGCAAACTATGTTTTTCTCACCCACCACCCCCACCTCTCTTTTGGATCACTGGAGAATGAGAACTATACAAATGATAACTGTACCTGCAACAGTAAATACACAGTGACTGTTTCTGGCTCAGATCTGGGTTGTGTTTGGTTAGCAGAGTTTTGTTTTCCTTAATACCAGTTCCCCCCACCCCTTAAATTTTTATTAGTGAAACACCATGAGGTACAGTTGTAGACTTACAAATTTTTGTGCTTAGGTTTCAGTTATACAATGATTGAATACCCATCCCTCCACCAGTGCCCATTCTCCACTACCACTGATCCCAGTATCCTTCCCACCCCCCCATCCCCCGCATCCCACCCTACCTCAGTGGCAGGGCATTCCCTTTTGTTCTCTCTCTCCTTTTGAGTGCTGTGGTTTGCAAAAGAGACATTGAGTGGCAATCATGTTCGGTTTATAGTCTACTCTTATCACGCATCTCCCATCCTGAGAGGAACCTCCCAATATCCTTTATTTGTTGCTTCCTTCTCTATCTGAGCTTCCTTTTCCTCTAGCGTGTGCGGCTGGCCTCAAAGCCGTGGAGTAATCCTCCACAATACCAATTTTTATGGGCCATTAGTCACTAATTCCAAACTAGTGCCCAAAGGTAAGTAGTTTTCACAGTATAGAAACAGAGCTTCTGGGTTATGAGAGTGGAAAAGAAAAAGGGGGGGATAGTATTCCTGGCAGATAGAGTAGATTTACATCTAGAAGTGAATTACCTTAAACTAGTATTTTAGGAACCTTTGAGAAACACCACAACCATTCATATGTTTGTAGGATTGCTATTACTCATATGTGCTCCTGAAACCCTGAATGGGCCTCAGAGAAAAGGACCTGAAACCCAGGTCTACCAGTCCTGGCCAAGAAGATAGGAAATGAACTTTGGGGAAAGCATTAAGTGTCTTGTTATATTCCACATTAAGTTAGACTCCGGCATAAGTACCTGCATGCTGGAGGGAAGGGCAGAAAGAATTTGGAGGAGGATTAGGAAGTTAAAGTGCTGGGAATTTCCTGGAAGTTTTTGTTGACAAGTGTGGGCCTCCTTGGGAACTCAGAAAAAGGAAATCCGGCTTCAGAATGGCCAGGCCCATGAGAAGTAGGAAGTTCCTTTATATCCACTAATTACCGTGAAGCCTGGCTTTCCCCAGCCAGATTGTCCATTCCTCAGACACAGACAATTTTAAGATTTAGAGAGTAAGGATCCCTGGCCTGAACACTTAATAGCAAGGCCTGTGGTTCCCATATTCCTGGTAGAGTGGAAGAAGAGATTTGGCCTGGGAACTCAGTCAGTGTCATACTAAATATACTGAGGATAAAGGTGGAGGAGTCATTGGTCTGGGAGATAGCTCTGGTAGCATGGTAGCTATTTCACTGTAGCTGCCTTTTTGTCAGATATCTACTCTGAGTTCTCCATCTTTTCCCTTCTACTACAATTTGTCCTTCATACCTTAGCTATAAAGCTATGTTATTTTTTGAGTGGCATATAGCAGATAATCAGCAATGGCATAAACTTAATACTGTGGCTGGAGACAGTACAGCAGGCAGGGTGCTTCCCTTGCAGGAATCTGACTTGGGTTCGATTCCCAACATCCCATAAGGTCACCTGAACACCCCCAGGAATAATTTTTGAGTGCCGAACCCAGAGTATCCCCTGAGTATCTCTGGGTGTGACCCAAAACCAAAAAATAAATGCTTTCCCAAAAAGTTTATATTCTATCTTGTTGGTAAAGCATTCACCTGAGGGAGATATTTTAGAGTCATCCCTTACTTCTAAGAAAAGTTCTTTTTAAAAAATAAAACCACATCTTTAAGCATTAGTATTAGGTGGATTATGGCTGGACTACTATAGCTTTTCCTCTTAGTTCCCAGAAATATGCCCCCTCTGGGACTTTTAGCATTTCCCTAAGTAAGTATTAAACATCTGCTAAGACACATGAGCATTTTAGGCACTAAGGATGCAATACTTAACAAACATTTGCAATATATGTTGGACACAGCTAAATTCTGGGAATATAAGAGTGAGAAGAAACATCCTTTGACAACAAGGAACATAATCTAATGCATCACTTCTACTGCACCATGGTGACATGAGAAACTTCCTTTCCTTTGATATTTTGACTGAAGTTGACTTTATGGAATTCTAGGACATTTACTAAAGGTAAAGACTAGCAGCAAAAATAAACCGTAGTTGATGGATTGTATTTTCAAGTCCTCCAAGGAAACACTAATAAATTCTAAACCCATGGAGAGAGGGACACAGATAAAATGTCCACACAGGAATTCTCTTCCTAGACAGCAGTTTTTTAGATTGATAAAGTTAGCTCACACCCTTAAAAAGATGTCAAATTCAGTGTAATATCAAAGAGCAACAATAGAGATGAGTAAGCCAAATATATGGAGAGGAAACACAAAAACTTGGACTAGTTCCTTAATACTCATCTAAGGTCAAATTAAAATATATTGATTTTATCTTCACATTGTTTCTCAAAGCTGCCATCATCTGCCTCCTTGGATTTTAGTTATCTGAATGATTTTCTTGACAGACCTCCCTCTAAACAGGCCATACTGACAAATCTAATGCTTTATTTCCTGCTGAATGATCTCTAGTGACTTCTTTCCTGTGGGGACGAGTCCAGATTCCCTACCATGACTCCTCTCAATAATTAGACATCTGCTTATTACTCCAGCTACTACCCTTTCTTCATCTTTTTCTTAAGGAAAATATCTTTTTTCACAAAACAAAAAGTCTTTGCTTCCTATGCACAATTTTTTTGGGCTGTATTTTGATTCAGAGATACCTTTTATCTACATAACTTGTTCTTGACTTTTAAAATCTCTCTGACCATCCTAATTAAGTTAATTTCTTTATAAATTCAAATGCAATGGAATAATTCTTTGAATTTACCACTTGATTTTGACAGTTCCCAGCAATGAATAGATTGGTTCCCAAACATCAATCTCAGATTGGTCTGAGATAGTCATAGTATTGTCATTACCTTAGTATTGATGAATTCAAGATCAATAGACTTCCAACTAATTTGATACAGAATCCATGATCTATACTGGAGTAAGGCACCATGTTATTTTGAGGATCAGTTTTTAGACTGAAGATGACAGAAGTGCAGATCCAATCACTAAGACCGACTACATAGTAGTGTGTTCCCATTTGAACCTGACTTTTATGTTAATAGCTATCGAAAATAATTATGTGTTAATTTTGTATTTGTAGTGTTGAAACTTTGGCATTCCCCTGCACCAATTTTTTCACGATTATCTCAGATCAAGAAATATTTTACATCAGAATGCAATATTCCTATCTACATAAGTTTAAATGAGCATCATGAAACATGATGTACCTTTACAAATAGGCATAGTAATCTTTTCTACTCTTCTAGTTCACTTTTTTTAAATGCTGGTCCTAATTTGCTAAATTGGGTCTACAGCTCAAGGGTGGATTGCAATTTGCTCTTTAAAAAACACTGATGTCAACTAGTGTTGCAGTGACTCACCATTGCCTTGGCTGCATAAAATCCAGACATCATAACACAAAAGTCTCCTGTGGCTCAGTTTGGGTAACTTCTGATTCTCATCTCCCATTATCTGCTGCCACCCTTCATCAAAAACTACTTGTTATTCTTTAAATACATTATACTTTTGTGCATGATGTCTCCTCTTCTCTACTTGCTTGGTCTGTTTCAAGTTACCTCTTATCTGACATTTAAATTTCTCCTCAGAAGTCTTATTTTTGAAGCCTCCAAGCCACAGCACCCTCCAGTCAGTTCTTGGGCATATGCCTACCGAAGGCATATGGCATTCCACTCTACTACTCAATATATGTTCATTAAAAGAGTAGATATGAGATAGTTCTTATTCATGACATATGTAACTCTGACTTTAAAAGCAGTCTGTGGTACTGTGTGCAGAGTCAGTGCTAAACTGCATTGCTGAGTAAACCAAAGCTGAAGATAAGGGCTCCTTCCTCTCCAGGGACATTAGTGTTCCTGACTTTAAGAATGTAAGCATATGTCTAATTCATTTCCCGCACACTTAATATCCCACTTTACTGAAATATTTCTAAGCCAGCTGATAGATTAAAAACTATACATCTTCCAAAATGTAACCCTAAGTTAAAATGATGCTTCTTTTGTGAAGTATTCCCCAGTAAAAAATACGCACTCTTCCAACTGTACAGTTTCACACTGCATATCCTTTATTATAGCAATGACATAGTTACATCCTTTGGCATCCGTCCTTCCCTAGTTAGTGGACTCCTTGAGTTGTTCCTTCTAATTCATTCTTACACCACTTGGCAGAGGATGTAGAACTGTATAGACATTCATAAATGTCTATTAGCTGGATCAATGTATGGTACTAAGTTCTTCAAACTCGCTCTTCATTTTGGGCATAACTCCTCCCTTCCTTGGTTTCCTCCTACTTCATCTGAAAAGAACTTCCTGCAAAGCTGATTGCCCATTGTTTGCTACTGTGTTGTTACTGTACCTTTAATAAGGCTTTCCTCCCGATGCCCTGAAATGCACTCCATTATTGTAGCTCTCCTCAGACTTCGGGTTGTCAACTTGGTAGTTAAATTGAGATACCCTAATAATAGAAATGGTGAGTATGTTTCTAGTTCGAGGAAAGGAAATTAAACTTTACTGACATTACATTTTTGTTCCACAAGATATCTTTTTCTCTTTAAAGTGTTTTTAACTTAAAAATTAAATATTGTATATTTCACATGGACTGGAGCAATAGCACAGCAAGTAGAGTGTTTGCCTTGCACACGGCCAACTCAGGGAGCCCGGCAAGCTACCGAGAGTATTCCACCAACATGGCAGAGCCTGGCAAGCTAGCCCTGGCGTATTTGAAATGCCAAAAACGATGGAGACGTTACTAGTGCCCACTCAAGCAAATAGAGGAACAATGGGACGACAGAGCTACAGTGCTATATTTCACACAGAGACTTCTGTTAAAACTGATGCTCTGGGAGGACAACTAGAAACCCTCACAGATGGCTGAGTAGTTTGACATAGCAAGCACAGTGTTAAAAGTCTTACTGCCAACGGGTTCAAAATGAAAATACAAATTTTAC